GGCCTTCTCGCCCCCGCGGCGCACCATTATCTCGGGCCTGTCGCCGTCGGGCTTGCTCAGGTCATTGCTCTCGCTCTTGCCCTCGCCCTTGCCCGCCGCGACGGCTGCTTGCCCGCGCGAGTCGATCGGCGCCGCATTGCCACTGCGCTGCCTGAATGGGCGCGGCAGGGACGGACGCCATGCTGAACTATGGGTGGCGTCGCTGCCGCAGCCCCTCCCCCGGCCCCACTGCCGCTCGCCGCGCCCCCACTCTCGGCCCAATGGCTGCTCGGGCGGGCGCGACGGGGGCCTCGGGGAGGAGCGCCGCGGCGGCCGGCACGCGCTCGCCCCTCGGCGACGGGGAGCGCGGCGACCTTGCCAGATCCCGCGCGACCCGCAGCGACGCGGAGCGCGGCGACCTCCGAGCCAGCACGCGAAGGTCGCTCATGCTGACGGGCAGCCCAAGGACCGCCTCATCCGCGCGACGGCGCGTATCCTGCCAGCAGCCCGGCCAGGCCCCGAGGTCGACCAACTGCTTGCACCTGCGGCGCTCGAACCATTCCCGGGGCGACTAAAGCGCCAATACCTGGAACAACTTGGTGTTCAGCAGCACCACGGGCACACTGATGGCCTCGCTGGCGCACGCGGGCCGAGCGCCCGTCATCCAGCCCACGGCGCAACGAGCCTCGCGAGGTGGAGCTGTCGCGGTCGCCTCGCCCGCTGGCCGCGCGCGCGCGGCACCGCACATTGCAGCGGCCGGGCGGCGCCGACCGGGCGTCGGAGGACGGCGGCGAGAGCGAGCGGCGGCTGCGACGAGCCCAGATGCCCTCTTGGCACCAGCTGCCCCGCTACAATCCTCTGGGCATGCCCGTCCTCGACGAGCCCACCCAAGCGCCGACGACCCTCTGGCGTCAACGACGACATAACTGGCGGCATTCCTGGCGGCATCACCACGACTGGCGGCGGCGCCTGTGGACCGCCAGGCGGGGGAGCGGCGCGCCGAGCGGGTTCGGGGGGCGCCGCTCGGCCCCTGGGCGCCACGGGCGCCTCGTCTAATGATGGCACTTCCGTGGAAGACAAAACTGGCTCCGTCCTCGAAAGCCGCGGCGGCGGCATCGGAGGCCGCGGCTGCGCGCGCGGCAGCGGCTGGCCGCAAGCGCGCAGCGGCGCGCGCCGGGCGCCCGCGCGCGGGCCCGCTGGCGCGCGAGCCAAGCCGCGAGGCCCCGCGCGCCACGGCCAGCCTGCGCACGGGTCTGCGAGCGAGAGAAATGGCGCCGAATCCTGAACTCCTTCTCTGACTACTGGCTGATCCCATGTCTCTTGCGTAAGTATATGCACACACACGCATCCTGCACGCTTCTGCAACGAGAGCCCTGCCAACAACTACGCCTGGACTGCCACGCTTCAGCGAGGACCCCAACATCGGCGCACACGATGGCAAATCTCCCGAATAAAGACGAAACCGAGATAAGACTGGTGGCGAGGGAGGACAGAGCACACACTAATCCGCGCACTGATGGTGGCATGCGAGTTGTCAGAGGACGACTTGCGCTCCTAGCCTGCGAGCACAGTGAGTTTGCCAGCCACGTCGAAGGCGACTCTGCACGGCGCGCGTGACCGCTGGCGGGAGTCACCGGCTACTTTGCCAGCCCGTCTGCGACCATGTCCCGCGTCTTCCCAGCTCAAGGCCCACAACTGGACCGAACAACGGAGGTCCTGGAGCCCGAGCACACGCGGCAACCGCGAATCTTATGCGGGAGGCTTTTGGTCTCGTAACCGCAACGGCTGGGACCACGCCCCTGGAACCCAGGCAGAGCTCGACTTGCAGCGCGAGAGGCGTTGAACTGAACTCGGCCATCTGCTCGCTGGCGAGGGCGCTTCGCATCACCGTCTTAACCGCCCCACGCTGCCAGTCCAATAGGTGGCACGCTCGTCGACCATCCAATGCCTGTTTTGTGTCCGTGCAATTGGCGCCCACACGCAGGAAAATTGCTCCTCTGGGCGCCCGTCCCGCGTCGGCCGTCGACGCACGCCGCGTCACTGCGCACCTCCACTGCACCTGCGCCGCGCATTGGTGGATGGCGGGCCCGCGGCGGGTGGCCTGAACCCATCCCACAAGAGCGCTGAACTTGCGCACGCGGCCGCACGTCGGAGCCGTCGCGCGGGGCTGGAGCGCATCAACGCGCAAGTCGTTTCGAGCGAGGAAGTAAACAGCCAAGGCCAGGAGCAGGCTGAGGTATAATTTGGCCAGGGCCTGCGAGGCGAGCCCAGAGCTGGACTTGCCAATGAGCTCGGCACTCCACGTTAATTGCAGGGCCTGGACGCAGTCGATCTGGCCGAGCCCGCATCCACCATTGCGCGCGGGAGAGCGGCGCGTTCCGAAGCAGGAAGGCCCCCCCCCCCGCTGATGGCCAGCTCACTTTAGCCGAAATCACCCTCTAAACATGTACGCAACTCAGATCTGTCATGAGGCAGTCCTGCTGCTTAACGTCGCCATCGTGCTGGGTGGCTAGCAGGACGA